CAGATAAACTGTTAGTTCAAGTTGAATGGTTAGTGCTGGAAAATTACAAAGTGACAACCTCCAAGATTATTGGACCAAAATAGACCTTGTTAGTGTTCATCTATACATCAGCAATGCTCTTAATCCCATTATTCCCACAACCCCTTCAATTTTAGATGAACATTTATCTTTTGCATCAATCACTAACTGCAGTTGACCATTTCAATATCATTATTATAGAAAAACAAAGTTTTCCCACATGACATAGCTGCGACCACAACTGTTAAAGACCTTCAGCTAACTGAGATCTATCTTGATTGTGAAATGAGTCTGGCATTGGTTCCTTTGGCAACAACCTTTAAGTCAGTCACTTACACTCATCCTCTGATACAACTATGATATTTGACACTCCCTCACTTAGCTCCAAATTATTCTGTATATCACCACTGATGGCCATCACTTCTCACTGGAACCATCCTATTCTTTAAAACTGCTACATCTTCATATTCAGATATGCCATGTCCTATTTTTCTAAAGTAGCAGGAGGTTTTGAGGGAGACTGATATTGTATATATTTTTTTTAATTTGGTTGCAAGTGATTTCCTGGGTGGGGGGAGAGAGGGAGAGAAGGGGGGGGAAAAGAAGGGAGGAGGAGGGGGGGCAAGAGGAGAGGAGAGGGAAGGAGGAGTATTATGTGGTGAGTGGCAGAGCCAACAGCCTAACAGCCTATCTCCTTAACTGATGAGATTTAAGGATTGAGAAAAAGAACAGAGTGAAATTGGGCAAATTAGTCAAATCAGGTAGGATCTCTTACGTCATGCAAACCTTTCCCTAATCCAGACATATTAATGTTTTAAAAGCAGTCTAATTAATCATGCTTTTGTGATTCAAAGGTGGAGTTTATTAGCTTCTAAATGTGACAAAATATAATAAAATGCAACACATATACACATGGATTGGAAACATGAATGGAATAAAAGATAACAAAGATATACAAATTGCTAAGTTCCTTGAAGAGCAGGACATTCTGACTGTTAAATTGATACTGATAACAGATGTTGTGAGTGAAGTAGTTGATATAGAGATTCTTCATTCTGCAAGTCAGCTGACAGGCTTTAGTCTTAGAGACAACAAGGTGCAGGGCTGGATGAACACAGCAGGCCAAGCAGCATCATAGGAGCAGAGGCTGACGTTTCGGGCCTAGACCCTTCATGAAAAGGGGGAGGGGGAGGGGAAGGGGGTTCCGAAATAAATAGGGAGAGAGTGGGAGGCGGATAGAGGAGAGGATAGGTGGAGAGGAAACAAACAGGTCGAAGAGGCGGGGATGGAACCAGTAAAGGTGAGTGTAGGTGGGGAGTTAGGAAGGGGATAGGTCAGTCCAGGGAGGACGGACAGGTCAAGGGGGCGCAATGAGGTTGGTCGGTAGGAGATGGAGGTGCGGCTTGAGGTGGGAGGAAGAACAGGTTAGGGAGGCAGGGACGAGCTGGACTGGTTTTGGGATGCGGTAGGGGGAGGGGAGATTTTGAAACTTGTGAAATCCACATTGATACCATTGGGCTGCAGGGTTCCCAAGCGGAATATGAGTTGCTGTTCCTGCAACCTTCGGGTGGCATCGTTGTGGCACTGCAGGAGGCCCAGGATGGACATGTCGTCTGAGGAATGGGAGGGGGAGTTGAAATGGTTCGCGACTGGGAGGTGCAGTTGTTTATTGCGAACCGAGCGTAGGTGTTCTGCAAAGCGGTCCCCGAGCCTCCGCTTGGTTTCCCCGATGTAGAGGCTTTAGTCTTGTTTCCTTTTCACGGAGACCTGACTGGCTTTCTGCGTTTTCAGTTATTAGGCTGAGACACGGTCTTTCCTTATGAAGCTGTCCATTGGCTGCTCTCATGCTGTGACCTTCACAGCAACCTAGTCCCCACTAGCACTTCAGCCTACTAACACACAGACAGGTTGGTGATTTTTTTTTTAAACCCTTTTCTTGTACAATCCTAGAAGGATTAAACAAACATTTTGGCAGATTGGGACTTAATCCACAAGAAATACTATAAGTTGTTCAGGGAAAGATAGAAAAGGAATGAAAGGAGGAGGGGTAGCAGTATTGGTTAAGAAGTACAATGCATCGCTGGAGAAAGAGGATGTCTCAGAAGATTCAAGTACAAAGTCAATTTGACTAGAGATAAGGAATAAGAAAGATACAATTATATTGCTAGATGGATTGTATAGATGCCGAGTGAAAAGCATTCAGAGAAACAAGTCTGCAGAAAAATGCCAACATTGTAGTAGTTATACTGGGGAACTTCAGTTACCCAAATATAGGTCAGGATCCTGGTCATGTAAGGGGCAGTGGGGAACAGGGACAAATAATTGCATTTGGGACAGTTTCCTACAGCAGTATGTGTCCAATCCAACTGGAAAGGATGTATTGTTGGACCTGGTTCTTGGAAATGAGGTGGGCCAAGTGGATCAAGTGTCAATAGTGGAACATTTGAGAGACAATGATCATTGTGTTGGAAGAATGGTTCCAGATATGAAGAATTTCAGTTATGAAGACAAGTTGAAGAAGTTGAGACTGTTTTCCTTGGAGAGAATGTTGAGAAGGGACTTGATAGAGGTTTTCAAAATCATGAACGAGATGGATAGAGTAAATAGTGAGAAGCTGTACCTGTTCATAAAAGGAGCAAGGATGAGATGGCATGGATTTAAAATGATGTACGGAAGAAGCAAGAGTGATGTAAGAAAAAGCTATTTTATGGATAGAGTAGTTAGGGTATGGAATGCACTGCTTGGAAGTATGTTGGAGGCAGGTTCAATTGAAACGTTTAAAATAACATTAGATGATTATTTGGAAAGAAACAGCATGCAAGTAGGCAGCAGAAGATTGGGACCAGGTAATGATGCTTGGTTGAAGAACCAGTGCAGGCATGTTGGCCTCTTGCATCATTACAATTCTTTAATTCTACTGAGGGGGTCAGTCAGCCCTGTGCTATTGCTGTAGCCACTGGAGTTCACAGTCCAATTTCTTATTAATTGCTCTCTACTTTTAAGGTTGATGTTTGAAGTTGTCTGACTACCTTCAGGAATGACATTCTGCGGTTTCTCTCAGGACCTCGCCAGACAGCAAGTGAATTTACATCTGCAATCATCTTTTGGTTGAATGGCTTTTAAAAAGCGCATAATGTAGATCAATAAATCTGTAAGTAATTGTATTATTATCCAATATCATGACAGTTCTGGCACTGCACCGAAAACTTTAAAGGGAAGAATAAAATGTGAAACACTGCTCCAGCTTTTACCGCTCACATTTTCTGATTTCCCAAATAATGCTTTGCATCCATGCTGCACGGATCGTCATACTCTGCATGCCAACCTGTGACCCCTGTACCCATGACTCAAGCCTTTAATAGTCCCTATTGCATTCATTTCAACACCTGCTCCAGCTACTAAGCTTTTATCTAGTTTTTCAATTTATCTAGTATTTACCATGTACAGACCTCAGGACTGTGATACAATTAAATAATACAAAGATCTAAATGTCTATTATATACTTCACTACTGAGAAAATACATAGATAAATACCAATGTATTATTGTTACATTCCTTCAACTACACAATGCTTTATAACAAACATTTAATTAACATATATTATCCCTTATAAAAAGCAATAGAATTTATAATCCTCTGATGAAAGGTGTATAATTTATATAAATGAATGTCATTCATGGGATTTGGAGTTCAGAATAGAGGCAGATTGACATTGATACTTCTGTCAAGAGTTTTCTTTAAAAAGTACAAGGTCAGAGTGTCCTTCTGGAGTAGTGATTGAAATACATTTTATTTCAGAAAGCAAGTGAACTACAGACCTCTGTGGTATTAATGTAAGTATGTTTATGCTGAAATTGCAAGAACAGCAGATGCTAGAGTCAGAGATAACAAAGTGTACAGCTGGAGGAACACAGCAGGCCAGGTAGCATCAGAGGAACAGGAAAATTGACATTTCAGGTCAGGACCCTTCTTCTGAAGAAGGGTCCCGACCCGAAATGTCAACTTTCTTGTTCCTCTGATGCTGCCTGGCTTGCTGTGTTCCTCCAGTTCCACACTTCAGTATGTTTATGCTACTAGGTTTACAGAAGTACATTAAACACGTAAGGCCATTAACTTTATTTCCAGTTCAGAAAAATCTGGGATGTGTATGTTTTTGTAATTCAGTTCAGAAGACACTAGTGTGGACTTACAAGCCAGTTAGCTTTCTCTCCTAAAAGAATTCAGGCCAGTTCAGGAACAGTTTATCTCAGGACATGCTGAACTGTTCACACTTTATGGCAAAGAAACTGTCAGGTATCAGGTAAGTAGAACACTGAAGAGTTAAGGTAGGAGTACAAGTTATCTGAGTCTGAGCCTTTGTAACAGATTGTGTTAGAAAATAGGTTGAAATATGGTTTTACTGTGTGGTGTGGGAATCATTCTAATTGCATTCTATATTTAGATTGTTTTGAAAAATCTCTTCTTTTGTGTAATAAA